AAAAAAAAAAAAAAAAAAAAAAAAAATATTCGCATGAACGACGGTGTGGACATAATATACCACGTGAACGCCAAAAGGGGAGAAACTAAAAGGGAAGGAGTGCCCCCTCTGCCTTCCCCCCCCCTTAACACACACATACACACATGTGTTCGCGCATGCGTATGCGTGTGCCCCTGGTGAGGCCTACTTGTTGGTTGGCTCATAGAGCGGAATCTCGTTGTAGAGAAAGGGGTCCTGCAAGCTGTGCGGCATATCAATGACATTCTTGTACTTTCTGTTTTTCTTATATATAAAGGTGGGGTAGTAGAGGTAAATTTTGTCCTTAAATTTGTTAAAGGCCCTTCCCTTGGCGTCGGAAATTTTAATAATTTTATTCTTGTACCCACCAATGGGGCCCTTTATGAACAGCAGATTTTGCAAGCTGTTAATTCGAAAAAGTTTGTTGTTGCTGCATTTGACGAGGTTCTTCTCCCCTATGTGAGTATTCATTTTTTTGTTCCTAAAGACAATGTTAATCGTTTTGCCCATAGAGACACTACCTAAGCTTCTATGTGCTTTACTTTCCGTGCCATGTGAAGCATTTTTACCACTAAAGTTCCACCTCTGCATGGCCCCACAAAAACCCTTATTCTTTATAGTAGAGCTAATGAACAAATTTTGGCCTGGGGAAAAATGCCTCGCGGAAAATTTGTGTTGTACAGGGAGAAAGCAATCACTGGTACATTTGAATTCTCTTATTTTATGAATAAACCCTAATTTCCTTTTTATATAATTACCAATGTTATTTTTACTCTGCTTAATCACATTCATATTTCCTATTCCTATTTGCAAGGCTTCGTATCCATTCTTCGTAATATTCTTTTGATTCAGGACATAGCAGTGGTTTATTTTTGCAACTGTCACTGCGTGCTTCACGCCCCACACATCCCATATGCTCATACAACCCACTTTGTACGCCAGCAATCCTGTCCTCCTGCTGTTCCACAATGGATAGACCTTTTCAATTTTGTCATCTTCTTTTTTCTCTTCATACTCTGCTTCCTCCTCTGTATTTATTTTGTAATTGTACTTTTCGTTTAGCAGTTGTAATCGCCTGACCCATTTGGAGGCGTAAAAGGTTCGGCGAGATGTAACCCACAGTGTGCTGGGTTCTCCCAAAGTGGGTCTCCCCCCTCTGCGCAAAATACGATTCATTGTTGGCAGCTCCCCCAAGTAGAGAGCCCACACTAGGGGGGGTGGCAAAAACAAAATTGGAAAAATCACAATCTGGTTCAATACGCTTTGTTTGGCTGTTACAAAAAAGAAAAAAAAAATTGTGTAAATCCCGCTTTGCACCGCGTAACAAGTTTGTGGGGAGTCAATTCCACCATCGACGCTGTGCCGCGTAAGCCGCTCCCTGGTACCTTTGCATCACTTTTGTTTGTCCCTCCGTCCGCGGGGGTTCCAGTCCCATCGGCATAGTGCCATATGGGGAAAGCCAACAAATTGTGCACGTCGAGATGCAGGCACTTTTTGCACAGAACCCGAAGAATGTGTAGAAAAAAAAGGTTAAAAAAAAAAAGGAGAAAAAAACCTCAACACCGTGACGTGCTATATGCTAACTCACCGCGCCAAGGATCTCACCCGAGTGGGGCGTCCCATGGAGAGCCTACAGGGGTAGCCTTCCATGCGGCGTTGGCATCGAGCCAGGGGAACCGCTCTTGCCCAACCACAAATCGACAAACGGAGGGGAAAACCATAGGGCCCATTTCCTCCTACAACTTCACATTTGCATTTAGAAAGAAAAAAAAAAAAAAAAAAAGTTCAGTTGGCGGGGGTTGGTCCTCTCAACCTTTTTAACCAACATTAATTGCCACGCCTAAGGGGGAAGTTTTATTTCACGTCCTTCACAACGCACAATTGTAAAAGATGCGAATGACTTCTTTTCTTGGGGTGTGCCAGGAGGAGACGTGCACAGCCCGGTGCCTCTAAAATGATGTGCACAAATGTGTCATGTGCGTCACGTGTGTCAAACAAGCCAATACACAGACGCAGAAGAGAATAAGTGTAACTCATATAGGCCCACGACCTCCGCGCAGGGGAGACAACCCCAGGGGGGTCATCATGTACAAAATAACGACTCGTTTATTTCTTGAAATTTTTTTTTATCCTTTGCGAACATTTCCGCGGCTGCGTGGTTGAAGGGGTCCTCCGTTGAGGGTTCCTGCAAGGGAGGCACGAAAAGCAAAGAAGAAAACGCGTGAGTTCCCCACTTTGTCCAGTGCAAACGTATTAACATAGGTCCACCGCTAAATGAAATAGGCAGACGCTTCAAATTAGAAACGCTTCTCTGCTATGGGGTCACAACTGCTGCTCGTCACCACATGGTGCAACTGTACATTTAGCAGGAGCAGCAGTCCCAGGATCAGCATTTGTAAATTTATGATGGGGTTCCATTCGAGCTTTAGGACGTTCAAGCAGACATTTCCGCGATCGTCAATGTTGGGGTGGAATATCTGCACAGAAGGGGGGGAAAAACAGGATGTCACAAAAGGTCTTGTACGTGGGTGTACATGTATATATATGTGTGTGTACGCATGTATATTATGTGTGTATATTTTTTGTGTCCCCCACATGTGCACGTCCATTGAGGCAAAATCACCTTGCTCTGGCACGTTATTTTTGGTGGTGCGATTGGGTAAGTGTCCTTAAAGAGGATGACAAAGTTGACCGTCTTCCCTCTGAAGTAACTCTCCTTGGGGGTCACCGATATGGCAATTTCCTTCAAACTGTCTTCATGAACTTGGTGCAGTTGGATGCCATCAATGGGGTCCAGGTCCAGGAGTTCTTCGTAGAGGGGGCAGAAAATGGTGGCATGACATGTTGAGAGGTAGAGCGGGGGGGTTTGCCGAAGGGGTTATGTTGTAGTCTCCATTGCAATGCACAATACACCCTCAATGTGTGTTAACCCCCAGGGGTAGAATACACAAAAAGGTACTCTCTCTCCTCCTGGGCACTCCTCAAATGATTGGTATTTTTGTCTTTATTTTCACTCGACCATATGGACTATACCTTTCTGTAGCACTAACTCGAAGGGCTTCAACTTCTTCCCACTGTCGTTACTCATTTTTCATCTTAAATTTATTCCAAAGGCAATTAACATTTGGCACAAGGTACTGCGAGCTATAATAAGCTAGTGACTCTGTAGAGAAAATTTTGTCGCTTCCTTTTCATGACGAGGACAAGGATCATGTTAACTTGTTCGCAATTAAAAAATATTTTTTCACATTTTACAATGGTGCGTGAACCGTCAAGTGGCGAGCGTAACCATAAAGAGAGGTGAATTCCTTTCCCCACCCCAGTGTGCCAACTCGATTGGGAATTTTTGCTTGCTGTCCCGTTGCACTATGGATCAGTGCACTCGGTGAACAACTAGTGCAGAGATGAGATGGCGGAGGAATTGCCTCCGTGATATATAACTCACTGTGTGCTTTTTCCCCCCATGAGGGACAAATTCATTTTTTTTTTTTATATGAGTGGAGGTTGTTCCCTCTGCTAGATATGATACTTATACACGTATGCAGATAATCGCTGCACAGGGTAGGAGGTTAAAAGGAGGCACAAAATTGCAATGTGCCATGCATGACATTGTGGCCGTTGCAGTGATGCCTGTCGTGTCATGCAAAGAACGCGCTACCTAGTCTTATGGAGGGGATGCGGAGGGGGAGTCAGCAGGAAGGGACCCATAAGGAACCTCACAACAGACCAAGTGGGAGACTACAAAAGGAAGAAGAGCGCCTTCGAAATGTGGAAATGCCATAGCGCAGAAACATACACAGCCGACTTATCATTTCATGATAGCTTTAAAATTAGTGAAGATAAAAAATTGCTCCTCAGCACAAGAGTAAGCAAATATAAGAACGTGAAAAATACAAACATCAAATATGTGTTTCTCTTTCTAACGTTTAGCCAGCCATGCTGCAACCATTTTATGTGTAAAACGAACCCGAAGAATGGAATCCCCACACAGGTGCTAGCCAAACTCAACTACCTCCTCTTGATAAAGAAAATACTCTCAAATGATTCTACACAAAATAGGTTCGTAAATTTTCTCTACTTGAATTATGTGTTACCGAGGAGGCAAAGAGATGCAGTTTTACTCGATGAGGAAGTGAAGGATGACACGTACGTTGGTTCTCCCCCGGATGGGTACCCTCCCCCGTCTGGTACGAAATTTCGGGAAAGGGATCACACTCAGAGGAGTTCGCAGGATGGCAATTTCCACCAACAGAAACATACCAATTGGGTTGAGCCCCCCCGACGCTTGACCAATTTCAGCCTAAAAAAAATGAGGCAGCTGTTCCAAAGAGGAGAGTACGAAATTGTTATACACAGTAACATAAAGAATAGGCTCCTGAAGCACGTTTATGTGGACGACCTAGATGGCCAAATAAAGACGCAGATTAATTACCTGAACATGTTTCTCAACCAAGCGACGGACAAAACGATGCTACTACAACTGTACTCCTTTGTGGAATATTTTTTTGACCAAATGGGGAATCAAGCGAACGAGTTTTTATTTTTCCTGGACAGACTAGCCGATAATCTATTACCCAAAATGAACCTGGTAGATGTAGCCTTCATCTTTCACATGCATATAAAGTTGAATTATTACAATCATTTGTTTTTATTTATGTTGGTACGAAAAATGGAGCTTCTTTTCCATTCCATGTTGACATATTCAGAAGGGAATGAAGAACTAGCAAATTTGTACATGCGCAAAATAAAGTATAACCAGAAATCCCTTGTCATTTTTTTTCATTCCTTAACAAATTATTTTTTTTACCTGAACCAACTTGAAGGCGGGACCAGATACAAAGACAAACAGATACACATCAAACGTTTCCTTTATGGAAAACTGGGGGCACTGCACGTCCTGCAAAACTTGGAGCGAAATTACCAATCGTATTCTGTACTAGACTACACCTTGGTTTTTGCCTCCCTCAACAAATTGGGCATACAGAATAAGCTACTCAGTTCGGTTCTACTAGACTATATAGATAAAATGGGATCCTTGCTGCCGACAAATGGTAATTCGAAGAAAGGAAGACTCAGCCCCTTGACCACTGCCCTCAGTGGGGGAGGCAACCTGCATCTGTATGCCTCCCTTTTGAGCACCTTTACAAAGTGCTTCACATCGTATCAATACTGCAGGGATGAATACGAGAAGGTCATGCGGGTGTTACTTATCCTGTTTGAAAATGGCCTCTGGGTTATCTCCAAATTGTTCGTCAGTGAAGGGAAGTATGTGCTTTGCTCCCCCCGATGTGACTACGACATGGGCGGTTTCAGGGGGCCTTTTAACAGAAGCCACTCATCCGTGGAGGAATTTCCCTCACAAAATGTTACATCTCAAATGGATGAACAGATTACAAGCGACAATGCACCAACCTGTAACAATGATCCCCCCAGGGGGGCACATTTACATGAAGAACCTACCTATGTTGCCTTCATTAGGGTTTTACAGATGGAGAGGAGAAAAAGCAAAGTGTGTAATATATGGGAGGAACCCCCGTCACAAGAAGCATGCAATAAAAGTAACCTGTCAGGTGGAGAAGGGAATTCCCCAGATAGACCCGTCCACCAGACCGAAGTAGAAATAGAAACAGATAGCCATTGCAAAACTGTATACCATGTGAAAAAGGTCCGAGCTAACATCAAGTACATCGTTAATTGTCTCAACTCGACCTACAAATTGGTTAACAACTTCATTGAAGTGTTTCAAATTAAAGAACACAGCAAGCAGTTCAACCGAATTGGTCTGTACAATTTTACCAATAAGCTCATTTATAAGAAAAAAAAGGTCCATTGTCCTGGAGATTATTTGCATAAGCTGCACAGCTGTACTGTGCATGGAAGCAGGCTGTTCGACTACCCAGACGGGGGGGTGCACATAAATCGGTTGTTTATGTGCGCCTATTTGAAGAGTTTCCTGCTCTGTGATTTGGTTAATGTGTATGTAGGGGGAATGGTCGAGGGGTTACATGATGTGATGCCTCCAAAGAACGAAGTAACGAACGCAGTAACGAACGCAGTAACGAACGAAGCAACGAACGCAGTAACGAACGAAGCAACGAACGAAGCAACGAACGAAGCAACGTTCTTCTCCCAGCTGGCCGCAAACACCCTGGGGGCCATTCAAAATTTGAAGCTGCTACGGTACGACATTTTTGCTAACATCGCACACATCCTCAGAAGGAAATACTTCAAACTGGACGTGGTGAATGTAGGAAATATAATTCACTCGTTCGCCTCCGTCAAGTTGAGGGATGTGCAGATAATCGAGCTTCTAACCAACCAGTTGGTATCTCACGCAAATGACAACCTGGGCAGCGACCACGAGATAGGTGAGCAGACACTCAGCAATGTCTCCATCTCCCTATTAAAAATTGATTTGCCGAGCGAAAAATTTAACGAAATTGTTTTCAGAAATTACAAAAGGGTCCAATCTCTGCACTCACTCATAAATATCACCCTCTACTTATGCTACTACAATTTCATCAGTTCATTTGTGCTACAAAATAATTTTACTCACCTTTTCAATCGTGTGAATATAGCAGATATGCACATGTTGACCGTCCAAAATCAGACACAGTTACGCCTCATCGCTCTTTTAACTCTGTATGTGCATCAATATTCTGTTGCGGAGGCAGAGAAGTGGGAAGGTCCAAAAGGGGCAAGGACCACCAATGAAAAGATTTGCACCCATTTGAATGAACTTCGAAACGTCCTTCAAATCTCACAAAGTAACCAAGGACAAACTCACACCACGGAAGAGATGTACAACGTGGCACACGTGGCAGGGGGAAGACAAAGAAGCGCATTTCCTAACTCAAGCTGCACAAATGCCGTCCCCTCCTCCATAAACATGTTCGAAATTTTGGCACATAAACGTATGAATAACCCACCAATGAAGACGACCCTGCTGTTAAGTGAGAGGGACTACTTAAACCTCCACTTAATCTCTGCATTTCCCTTTTCCGTACCTCCCATTGAAACTACCTCCAGCTTGCACGATGAAATATACGACGTCGTGGCGTCACTGCGTCTTCCACGTCGGCTGACCAAGGAGTTGCCACACTACCCCTACTGCGTCGATATAGTTCTCGCCTAGCGTTGTACGGGAGTATACATGGTCGCATCGGTTTGGAGCACTCTGTTTTGTGGTGCCGATGTGCGGCGCTGATTTGGCAGCGACCAACTTTACTCCTTTTTTTTTTTTTTTTTTTTTTTTGTACAAACAACTCTTCTTTTCCCTCCGAACTTTGCAACTTCCCACCATTTGAAAGCCCATCATCAGCGGTGAGTGCGGCTAAGGCAGTTACTCCCCTTTTCTTATGAAGACGCGTTAGTTTTATATATAAGCGAAGCGTTACTTTACATTTAAAAAAAATAAAAAAAAAAAAAAAGAAAACAAACACGGGCCCCGTCCGAGAGGCGTTTTCACCAAATGGATAACAAAAAAAAAGGTACACCAGACCGATTTACGCGTCAAAGAGGGGACAGTTCCCCCTGGTGCGGCGCGGCGGCTCTCTACTGCAGAGGACCGACAGGTGACCTCGCGGCGTTCGACTGTCCCTTGGCATCCTCCACATACTTCTTGTTCAATGAGCTGGTGTTTATTTTATTCGGGAAAACATTAAAGGTGATTAAATTGGCAGACTTATTTTGATATTCCACCATGAGGTACTGATGCAGTTGCCTCAAGTTCTCACTCTCGCACCACAACTGCCGTAGGGTTATTAAATTTATCATGTCCTTTTCTAATCTACTGTAAGCATAAAAATGAAACTGGTCGTCAGGATTGTTACTACATATATGACACATGACTAGATCTTTTTTTAAGTCACTCGTTTCGTTCTTCGTCTGTACATCAACATTCTGTTTGAACAATAAAAGGAGTTTACTTAGAATCGTCTTTCTCTTTTCATAAATCAATTGAGCATACTTGTCTAGGGCTTCCAAGCTCATGCTGTTTACATCTTCATTGATATATTTTTTTATTAACATGTCTTTATCTGCTGTGTATTTTGAGAGCAAAATGTTGTTAAGTATATTTTGCGTGTCTTCGCACAGGTTTGCTACATTTAGTGTGTTCAGGCAATTGTCTACCATGCTGTTCAGATTTTGCTGAAACTCTTTTGCGTGATCTCCAGGGGGGAACTCATTCTGTGCGACGTTTTGGCTTTCAACATTTACTGTCTGGGGGACTCCAAGTGTGTGGCACTCCTCCACGCTGACGTTGTTAATGTTGATCGCGTCGGTTGGGTTGTTCTCGCCGTACTGGTTGAAGCTACTTTGGCCGTAATTTTGGCCGTAGTTTAGGCCGTAATTTGGTCCTGGGGCGGATAATTCGTTGGAGATTTTTTCGACTAAGTTGCCATTGTTAGGCATACCCACATCCCCGTGCACACCGAGCATTGCCACGTTGCAGTATTCACCACTACTACTATGAATTGGAGGTGCGCCTGGAGGACTGTTCATATCGTTTGGCATTTTATCAAACGAAGTTTCTTTTGTGTGTAGATGTAGAGTCGACATATTTCTTGTGGGGTGGTCTATGTTTTCCTTCCCCATGCAAATCGTACCTTCTGTGTCACAATTGATAAAAAGGCTGGTGCCTTTCGTGGTTCTCTCCTTTATGCCGATGAAGGAGTTGCTCATGTCAGGTTGGCTGTAATCGTAACTCATTTGGTGACCCATGCCTGCAGCGGGGTTGTTTGCATGTTGGCTGCTTTGGTTCTTCTCCTGCTCATTAAATGTGTTCTGTACGCTCTGCTGAAGCAACCTGTTCGCGCTCTCAGATGTGTTGGAGATGGCATCGTAAAATATGTTATCGCTATCTCTGTTCTTTTCCCTCTCATTGACGTGACGGATGTGCACATTGTCGGGGTTGTTTCCGAGGGTATTATTACACACCGCGCTACCGGCACCAACATTATGCTTCGTGCTTGTCGCGTTCCCGCGGGACATCGTGCCAGTGCCACGGAAGAAGGCCCTCTCCTTCAGACGGTCCCGTTCGTTCGAGAAATTGGTTAACTTGCTACCAACGCTGTGCCGGAGCACTTGCACATCGGCCTTCTTCGTTTTGCTGGACACCCCGTCGCAGCTGCTCCTGTTCTTTACCACACCCTGTTTCGCATTCTTCCTGCAAGCCAAAAACATATTTTTATCATTCCTGTTCAGGTTGCAATTCATCTCGTCTAGGGAAGAGAAATCCGATGTGTCCGAGAAAGCGTAATTTTGCTGGGTGAAATGTTGCTGCCTGCAGATACTATCATAATTGGTGTTATTGCTTTTAAAATTTAAGAGGCTTTTTTTCTTCTTTTTTTTTTGCGCTAGCTTATCCATATCGTTGACTGAGTTGTACTTGGTCTGGTTGGTGGTCACGCCGTCCTGATTTTTCACAAGGTGTTTTGCGTTCCGGGTTGGGTTGATGAGACCACTGACAATTCCACTTCCACCACGCCGTTCCTTCAATTCGTTTGACTTGATGTTAGCCCTTCCTCCCTGCATGAGCGAATTCGATTTCATAGCTGCGCCCTCCGCCTCAGAAGTGTTCATCTCTCCACTTCTAGCTTCCAAAATGCTAATTTTCTCGCCATTCGGGTCTTCCTCTTCGGTAGTATTCATTTTATGCTTGAAATTTTTAACACGCGAAGAGTACCTTAGCGTATTCAGTGTCTGTTCACAGCAACTAATGGTGGGGGAAATATTTGCAATCATGATGCTCTTAGATTTCCCAACAAAGATATCTCTTAACACTTTAGTTAGTTCTGAATCCCTAAATGGAATATGGTGTTTGTCAGAGTCCATAGCCCTGATACATTCCTTCAGAGCTAACAAGGATCGATTAATATTAGCTCCATCTGTTTGTGTTTGTTTATTTTGAGCAACGGTATCTGCACCCCTTTCACTGCCTGCCAAATCTATAAAGGCAATTTTTCCCAATGAAACATTCTTATGTATGTCTTTCAAATCGATATTCAAAATAGCATGTGATCTAGAGGACTCATCATTTTGAGAATTCACTCCTATTTTTCGTAACATGACTCCATCAATCATTTTTGAAATTAATTCCTCTTTTGAATAAACTCTTAAAATTTTGAGGTCCTTCACAACTACCTCTTTCTTCCCATTCTCCAAAGCAGCCACCATTTTCCTCTTTTGTAACAAATCGTATAATTTCCCACAATAAATTTCATAAAAGGAAATGAAAATTCCTTTCGTGTTATCATTATCGTATAGACTTAAAAAGCTAAAAATATCTTCAGCTGCGTATTGGAAAATTCCTGGCGTTTCACTTTGACCATAGGGTTGAGACCCTAACATGGTATACGTCTTTCCACTCCCTGTTTGTCCATATGCAAAACATGAACAAACACAATTATTTTCAAAAATGTCCACTATTAAAGGTTTGATTGTATTTATATAAACGGTAAAATTATCAACTGTGTCATCAAATACTTTATCAACAATGAATTCGTGTCTCTCCACATATTTGGTCAGATCTACTTTGTATCTTGGCTCGTCTATGCATATGGTACAATTATCCTTCACTGTGATTATATCATTGTCTTTTTTTTTTTTTTCTAACTCACTGATCGGTCTTTTTCTTACAACCACTTTAATTTTCCCATTCATACTTTTCCCTCTACTTTTTGACTTCTGACCCAGGTTCAGGCTCTTCTGTGGGTATACCTCACTCTGCCAAAAATGGATATGTGTGGGGGTGGGGGGGAGATATGAAGAAGCAAATGCTATGCCACTTACACGCTAATAAAAAGCATGCGCATGTGGGGTTGGGGGTACAGGGGTCACATATCATTATGAAGAGATACGCGTAACCATTTCGCCCCCTTTTCATTACCTTATTCTTCACCATGGATTGCCTCTTCTGTTGCATCGTTTTTTTATTCATGATTGTCAAATGTTAAGAAAAGGAGATTGAACTTTGCGTTCGTCTGGTTCAATCGACAAGAGATGCCTTCACCAAAGAACTCATACGGCATGCTCCTGTTTTGCTATGTTACTCTATGCTTGTCTGGTGCCAAATGACACGGAGAGAATTATCGCCTCGTACCACTTGTAGGATTGCCTCCCGTTGCTCCCGTGGGGGGAAAAAATCTCTCCACGAGGTGTACAGTCGACGCGCTAACAACTAGCACGAAATGTCTTGGTTAGACGGGGACGCAATTTTAATTAGCGCAAAAAAAAAAAAAAAAAATTGCGTGGACAATGGCGGTTCGCGTTTTATCAAGCTGTGGGCAAGCGGGCCCTATGATGCAGTTGTTATGATGAGGACGTTTTACTTTTAAGTCGTCCTGAGGGGTACCTTCTAGTAAGCACCTCATGGAAGGACTTTCTCAAATGCCCTTTTCCATAGGCAGAGAAATCACTCCAAAAAAGTGCAAAGCGAAATAATCGGATACGAATAAAACGGGGGAAGCCAGGTGACGGAGGCTGCCACTTGCAAGCGTGCACGTATAGCTGCACATATAGGTATGTATACATTTATATGTGTACTTGCGGGGGCGGCAGAATGAGGACTACCCCCGCACTGTTCCCGAACTGCTACGTGCGCAGCGCACTAGGAGTGTGTGAGCTCGGGCTAACTAACTGCATTAGACTACGCTCAAACGAACTGAATTCAATTTAATAAATTATAAGGTTAATATATGAGATGAATGCATCCAATGCGGCGGGACACCCTCTCTCTACTTCCCCCATGTGAGCCATTTGCAAAAAGGGAAAAAGGGCCAACTGGCGAAGGGGGCACACTCGCAAAAAAAAAAAAATGTACACCTCCTAGATGATGCTCTTGCGAGTGAAATGAAGGGAAATTTTTTCACTTGTGTGGGAAAAAAAAAAAAAGGAAAAAGAAAAGGGAAAAAAAGGGGGAAAAAAAAAGGAAAAAAAGCACAAGGGCAAAATTCAAAAGGGAAATCTGCCCAAGGAAATTCACCAAAAGGACATTCACTAAATGCAAGTCCGCCTGGAGGAAATTCACATAACGCTCATCCATCCAAACAAATTTAACCAAACCATGTGCAACAAAGGAAGGATAGCAGCAAAGAACGAGGGAAAAAATAAGCTCAACATAAAATGCCAAAATTGTATTTACACTTTGCGAGCCAAGGAAGGGTCTGCCTACCAACATAGTATTGTCAAATTGGGTAATCTCGTGCAAAAAAAAAAGGGTTTACATTTTACGGAGCATCATTTTTTTTTTTTTTTTTTTTTTTTTACCATTTAGAAATAGAAATTGTCACGTATTTTTTTTTTTTATTCCTTTTGCATTTCCATTGCATTTCCATTTCATTTCCCTCGTTTTAAACATACAAACTCCTTCTTCGTGTAGACAATTGCGGCAAGAAAAAACTCAGCCGTGGGTACCTTATTGGCCAAGTTCCATTTCCACCCCTCTTGGGACATTCATTCCAGGGAACACAATTAACCAATCGCATGATGACCTAACTCGGAGTGGACACTTGCAGGTGCGTGCGCGTGTGTAGGAGTTTGCGACGGAGGCAAGCTGTGCCAAGGGGTCCAAAGGAAGTCCATATGTGAATGTATGCATTTAGAAGTGCACAACTGTTGGGGGCATACTTGCGAGGGCGTTTTTACACAAGTCCCTGCCCCACGCGACTTCCCCCCCCCTGATTTTTCCTGTGTCCGAGTTTTACCGCTGAGGAGCACATTCTTCACGTTTAAAAAGGTGTAAATGTGAAACTTTGGCAACTGGGGCGTGGCAACGCGAGAAGGAACACACTGTGAATATGCAAAAGTTAAGGGACAAAAGAAAAAAAAATTTTTTTTTTCTCTTTAGTGCTCAACTGTACGTACACCCCCCCGTGTATGCACATATATGCCGCTTCCTCCACGAGGAATACACATATGAGTGTGTGTAGAGGCCAACCGGACCCCACCCGTAAAAATAAACCATGTGGGAATACCCATTTGGCCAACACATAAACGCGCGAGGCGAACAAGATTACACACAGTGCATCACCCCCATGGATTTAAGGGACCACTACAAAAATTACAAACATAGCAGTAGCAACAAACAAGTGAAGGAAGTTGTTCGTAGAAATGCCAAACGGGTGCGTGATGTGGTCCTGACGAGTTGGCTACCCCAGCGGATGGATCCGCATATAAACAATAAGGATGCCAAAATTCATCTCAACAACCCTACAGGAGGAACAGAAGCCATTTTATACGTTGACTTCATATACACACAACTGATCAGACATACATATGTGTTGTTACATTCGCTAAATGTAAACAAAAGGAAGGGAAAACAATTCAACTTTAGCAAAATTTTTACATACAAATATAATTATAAGCCGTGTGAACAGCACCAAGTTGGCAAATATTTGAAGCATTACAACATAAGCAATGATCTCGCAGGTTGTGCCAACTTTTTTATATATTCCTGGGCGGGAGAAAAAAAAAAACAAAAAAGAGAAACAAAAATAGAAACAGAAACGGAAAAACAGCAGCGTGAAAATGAGGCCAACTTTAACATGTGCATATATTTACCAACAAAAAAAGAAGTGGACATTTTATTCATCCTCCAAAAATTGCAAAAATATTTTTATTTTAATTTATATGTTCCAGTAGTCACCGAGCAGAATAGCATGATTTTTTTCCCATTCGATTTACACAATAATTTATTAGTCAAACACAGGTTTGGAATTTTCGTGCCCTATTTATATTTGCACCATTGCGCTGAAAGGGGGACAAACGGGGGCAGCAATTTACACCTGAATTTAAGTCCAGCCAATTTGGTCAAGGATACATTATACAATTTTTCCTTCACGGAAAGGCAAAATATTTTCTTCATTCCTCTCCTTGCATATAATAATTATGGTGCGCGTGTTGGCAGTGGAAAGGGCTACTACGATAGAGCATTTAATAAGCAGGGTGGGGAGGACGTGGAGGAAAAAAAAAACGTAAAAATTTCTCTCTCCTTAGAGGCACTTCTGTACGAAATTGACTTTTTGGAGCCCACGGATATCCTCCTGGATTATGTAGTAAATGAGAGGGGCGTCTACCACTTCGTCTCCTGACGCATCAAATTTGGCTTGCATATTTTGGTGCGCGTTTTCGCGTTTTTTTTGCCCTCCTTCCTTTGCGTGTTTCCCTTTGTGGGTTCGTCATCGGGCAGGAGACTTCTGCACAGGATCAGGGGGAGGAATCAACCGGTGAGGGGACTATTTTACCGGTTCAAATTTATCGCACGGAAAGACAACACACATGGATAATCTGCGCAAAGGGGTTCGTCGCATATGCCTTTATAAAGCCAACCGTCTAAGCCGCCTTACAATAACCCCTCCCCCATGCGACGGATGCAAACTACACAGAGCGGACACTTCAACGCCCGCCCCGCCTAAAGCATGTTCTCAAATCAGATTTACCCATCACCAGGCCCTTGGCACCTTAAACCGTTGTCCTCAGAATGGAGCTCCAGCATATCTGCGTTGTAACAGGGAAGAAACGGGTGAAAAAAAAAAAAAGATACACAGGTAAGCGTAAGGGAGAGTGTATCACCTAATTAGGGATACCCCTTCCGGACAAACATGGCACTAAAACAAATAAAGTCAAAACTGTGCACTGCTCAACTTTATGCGACAAACTACCTGACTCGCTAAATGAGAAACTTTCCTCTCTGTGATTCTGAAAAAAACGGGATTGGCCATAAAAAGGATTAATACACACGTGAATGAAAATCGGACAGGCAAGTAGACCCCTCCGTCCAAATGCTTAAAGTGTAGAGCAAGAAATTTCACAGAGGTGAAGAAAAAATGGGCACTTACCTCCCTAATGTGTGCAGCCAACTCTTTTAAGATTCTTTCCTTGTTCTCCAAATCTTCTTCCAGCTTTTTAGCATCTTCGATAAAAAAAAAAAAAAAAGTAAGCCATTTTAGGTGGATAACCAGAAGACAGGGGTATATGTTAAAATGTAAATTTTTTTTTTTTTTTGAGGGGGGGACGATGGACTCCTCCACGCATTTGCGTAGATATACCTTTGTTGGTGGTGTGTTGTTCGAAAGGCTCATCTAACTCCTCTTTCTTCTTCTCCCTCTTCTGTTCAGTGCTGTACGGGGGATGATGACAAGGAAGTGTATTATATCGTTGCAAAGGGCATCCCGGTAGAGGGGGACCGCCTACTTGCAAAAAGCTTCTTCTCTGCACAGCAAGTGTAGCACACTACAATTTACCCGTCGCAGTTGGCGTAACTCAGGAGCATATTAAAGATAGGCATGTTCAGATCGAACGGCTGGAAAATGGACAAAATGGTCCACAACTTGCGGCTGGGATACTTTTGCCTCAATTTATGAATGTTCCTCAGGAGTGCCTCAAAAAATGGCAAATCGCAAAACTTGGAGCAGCTGATGGAATAAACCAAGGTATACAAATCTCGGTAAGTAAAATGTACCAACTCAGGGAATAAAATGGAATTTAATTTAAACAAGTAAGTCTTCTTTTTTTTCGAAAAAAAAATTTTAGATATGCTTATGTACAGTAAAATTTTATCCTTTTTGTTTAATAACTTGAAATCATTTGAGAATATTTCATTCAGGCAATTTGTCCACAACGAATTGACACCGTCATCCACATGAACCGCATTGTATTGTATGCTCATCAAGTGCATGAACTGAATCAGAGTAGATGGAGTCAACGATACCTCTGGCAATTTTTTGTCCAATGCTCCCACACGAATGAACAGTTCCTCCAATTTATTAAAAAGTGTCTTACAGAAAAGGTTGTAAGGTAGACAACTGAACATGTAATTGGTAATTATGCGTATCGTTTCTGCTTCCATGTGGGGTGCAAAACGACCATGTGATATTCCCCCATTTGAATTTCTTCCCACTGATGTTATTTTGTTATAATTTCTTATCAACTTGTTTAGGGAGCAAACTAGGGCGTTGTTCAGGAAGTAAATCATGTAGACGATTTGCCGCGTCATCACATCTTTATCCTCCGTTGCCATGGAGAGGTTGCTCAGTTTTGCGGTTTCTGTGCGCGCACTGGGTGTGTCTTCCCGTTCATTACCTACGTCCACTTCTCCTATCTGCGCCGCTTCACTGCAGGTGGTCCCCCCTCTTGGCCACCCCTCCCTCTGACACTCAAATTCGTATATATTAAAGTAGTGGTAAAAATGGCCAGTGATGTAGGTCACATTGTTTCCCAACAGAAAGGCCAGCTCAGTGTTGCTCCGTGTGCCCACGACCTCCGAGCACATGTCAACGAAGGATGAAGTGTCCAGAGGATACTCATTCTTGTTCATCATTTTGAGCTTATTCACCATGTCAATATCTTTTTCGGCGTCCCTGTTATTTTTCTCAGTTTTAATCTTTGCTGCATTCATTATGGAGGTTAATAATTCTGTGTGCTTGCATAGACGCACCATGGATATGCGCCTATTCGTTTTATGCCTTACATATTTTAACATAAATGTCATTAGGAGGTACAAGCTATTCGTTCGAATATTTACCTTGCTGTTCAGGTAGGAAATATTCAAAAGGTACATCGAAATGGTACTTACTAACGAAGCGTTTAACTTTTTCACAAAAAAATTGGTGACATCCTCGTCTAGTTCATCATCATCGAGGCTGTTGTTTTTCCTTTTTTTTAAAATTGTACAATAGTAGTTAAATGCGTTTTTATGATCTATCCATTCGATGAGTTTTTTCTGAATGTTCTGTCTCCCTGTACCACTGCCAATGGAACCGCTTCTCCCTGGGGGTAACCGTCCATCCTTCACATCGCCTCTCGTCAAGGTAATCCTCTCAGCGTAGCTGTTCGCAGGGAGACAGCTAAGGAAGAGCAATTTATCCCTCAACTGTAGGCCCGCTTCTTTCGTGATTACCTTTTCACACAAAACTTGAATCAGGTCATGCAGTTTATTTCCACCAACTTCCTTTTGTCCTTTTTTGTACGCCTGGCATAATGCATATAGTAACAACTTTCTATTATCCCCTATACAATTTATCAAGTTTGTAGTATTAACATTTTTACGGTCTAAATGAAGGTTAACTTTAACTGTTTTTTTTGTGCGTTCGTCTATTTTTCTTTTCCTTTCCCTTCTTGGGATTTCGCCCCAAGCGATTCTGTTGCGTAGAGTTGTAGCAAAAAACCTTTTCTTCTTCACCCCATGGCGCCTCGCGATTGGCCACGTTATTATGGACGCAGAGCGCAACAGACTATTCATGTCATCCTACCTTTCAGTAAAAATGTACTTACACAGTGTGGGACATTTTTTAAGGTCCCTCTCTGGAAAGAAACTAAAAAAAAAAAGACTTTTCAAGTTTTGACGTCATAGGGGAAGAGGTTTATAGTAATGTATTCACATGTAGGCCGATGGGGGGTGCAGGATTCTTTTTCTCTTCGGTCCTTTCTCACGTGGACACTTTCAATTGAGAAAAGGTGGTGGTCGATACTAAACAAGTGAGCTAGAAAAAAGAAAAAAAAGAAATGCACCTGTTGATTTATATTTTTCCAAACAAGGAAATTCCTAAAAGGTGGTGATAACTTTAATGTACCATTCATGTCCTTCCCTTCACTTATGCGGGGGGGAGGGACAAAATCTGGATGCTGTCATCTTCTCTACATCTGCGGACGCCCCTTTATGTGTGCATATATTTCGCTCACCTGACTACCGCTTCTCTTCAGTGTATCTTCATTTTTTTTTTTTTTTTTTTTTTCCTCTTCTCATTATCTGCGCCTAAATGGGCTGACTTTCAGCTTGTTGGCAATTTCGAAAAGGCAAAAATAAAAATGAAAAACGGGAGCACGGGATAGGGCGTGTAGGCTAAGATGCGTAAAAAATAAGCGAGGTGGCTGCAAAATGAAGGCGCAGCCGCTCCACGCAGAACTTGCCCCCACGCCGCGCTTGCTCCATTTTTGCGAGTGCGGTATAAGTGTCCCCCCATGTTTTCATTTCTTCCGGCTCTTGCCTTAACCGCAGCAATATTGCAATGTTTGGTTATAAGTCACGTTGCCGCCATGTCATTTGCTAGCACCGAGCTAAGTGCCCTTTGTTGCCCACGAAAACCAAAGGGATGAGTTTTATCAAATTTTTCAAGTCGTCGCCCTCCTTGACTCAGCATCCCATTTTGTAAATAACCCTTACGACCACGGCTTGTACCATGCAGATGAGGAACGACCTTGTAGAGTGAGTTGGGTTCCCATATTGCTTTTTCCTTTTTCTCCTTTTTCTGCTTCACCCTCTGTACAATCAAGAAGCACGAAGAGCTTCGAACGTACTTCGCGTGTGACTTTTTTTTTTTTTTTTTTTTTTTGTTTTTTCCTCTTTGTTTGTTCTTAGAGGATTGGAAGAGGAAAATTCGTCCAACTTTGGCATTATTTTTAAATAATATTTGAGGAAAAGGCTTGTATTTCCCCCCCTTTTTTTTTTCTCTCTCTCTCTCCTTTCCGCCTCTTTTTTTTTTTTTTTT